CCCCATTGGTGCTTTTAGCTGCGCGTAAAATCAAAATGACACAGAATAATTTATATGTATTACTATTATCGAAACACTTAACAATAAGGGTCCTCTTGCCACGACAAACGATAAAATATAATTTTTTGCGGATTCAACAAGAAGACAAAAGTTACACTTGGAGTTGGGAGGACAAAGTCGGTATACATATACTACACTCGCCCTCCACTTGTACATCGGCAAGCGTCTGACAATCTTATGTAATGTATAAAAAAAAACTCTATGTACCATTTGTGATTATGTTATCGCACACGCATATGGTAAACGGTTCTACGCAATTCTAGTGGCAATGAAGCAACCGAGGAAGATCTAGTCGGCGTATGGAGACAACGTTTAGTCCTTGCTTATCTGAGGGAGAGGTGCGGAATGCGACAAAAGTATTGTACTTGGTGCCTGTCAATCAGGCCTAAACGACAATAATATATTTCCTGGGACAGACATTAAGCAGCTTCGGTTACGACAAAACCTTACGTTGTGCCCCTATATGCCTAGTTGAACCCTTGCTTAAGGCGCATACATTACCTAACGTGAGCTTTTTAAGCCGTTTCGATATTTGGGTAAGAAAAAATTACTATTTCTTACTTACATGAATCATAAAATGTACTTTTTACAGTAATGGCCAAAATAAATTAAAATGAAGAGTAAAAGAAATCGTAGAGTAATCGCAGGGCAACCTGTTTAACCCTACACGACATTTAGGGTTGGCACCGATCGACTTTGTATACCTATTTACGGTGCATTCGATCGATAGCAACTAAAAGCACTCTTTTTTACAGTTTGAATAATTAGAATGTTGACTTGAAACACTTCTCACTGGATTAGGCCTCCTTTATTGGCCGGTACCTATTTCCATGGTATGATCATGATTGATTCAGGCATAGGTCCTTCTTGCTGAGGCTGACTGTTCAGAAGAGAGGCCGCATTTATTGTGGGGCCTCTTACCTTCACCTACGATATACTTGTATACTTTCCGCCGTATGTAGTTTTTTTTGTCGCGATTACTATACATTTGATAATTAGTGAGCGATGTTTTTCAACCTCCTGAGCAAATGGCGAAGTTTCTAACGCAATAGTTTATAGATCTGCCTCTGACTGACGCTTCCACATTTGTTGTTGCTATTTGTTACTAAGTAGCTCGTAATTATCATATATTAACCCCCATCTGAGTAAACCATTTATCTTTCACTGGGGATATGTTCGCCTATTTGTGACATCGCACACTCCTGATGGAAGCATGTTCCAGCCTCACACGGTTAACCAGAGTTTCATAGAATCCGTTTATGATAAATCCGAAATACAAAATCAAAATGAGGCCTAGACATTTAACGCAAATAACTGAATCTGTCCTATATGTGCATATACATTTTAGATAATCTTTGCATCGCTGAGCGTTTAGGGGATCTGTCTGTTTTAATTGGTTGCTGCATTGGCTATCGTCTTTCATCCATATTCTCCTTTTGTTCTGTCGAAAAAACTATTTATTTTTCTTGTGAAGCAAGAAGTAGGTGCCTTGACACGCGTCATGTAATAGAGAGTTCTTTTTATACAAATTCAGGATAAGCGATTGAAGGGCAACCGCATGTTCTCTCAGAGTTCTGCGTCTTTGTTGATATCGCCTGTCCTTAAAAGCTGCAACATGTTGCAACAGCAGTTTCCAGGCAGCTTGTGTCAGGTAAAATTTGGAAATTAATGATGCATGGATAAATCTACTTAGCTACTTCAAACTCGTCAAACTTTCGCGCAGTGGCATAGAAATTAAACTAGAGAGTAGCGCATATAAGATGGCTTATCGGTACGATTGCTATAAGTAGGTAGATCTTATGTTTATGACAAAAATTGTTATAAGATTCACTGGCAAATAAATTGCAACTTCGGCTAGATGTAGCCAATGGTTTCGCACGTATGTTCATTGAACTTGGGACGCGTTATTCAGACAAAACGTTCTATAAACGGACCTGGTGATGGATTTTTGGCCTTAAACCAACCCCGAGAGTCTGGAGTGTCTCATAGTAGCCTTTCGAAACCTCGCTATGTACAAAAATACTGTCTTGCAAGAAAGATCTCTGATCTTTGTTGCGCGGATCGAGATCGATAGATTTCAATACGCAAACCAGGACAACGTAGTATATCATATATATATATATATATATATATATAGAGGGTTTAACCTCACGGGTATTATACATAGCAAATAAGTTTCTTGCACAATTTAAAATACCTAAAAATGGCTGCGGGATGAATCAAGAGAGTAGACTGTTAACGATACTCATGGTCTGGTTTAAACCGTACTTATTTGATTTCTCCTATTCAAGGAACCTGTGTAGAAATTGCTTCATACGGGCATTCCATACGTTATAGAAATTTTATGCAATATATATAGTATGGATCAGCGCTAAAAACTTCGAGCAAAACTCGGAGCCGACGTGTTGATGTTTTGCTTGGATACTCCGGCAGGTTTGTTTAAAGATCACTCGATCAGACAAACAAGCCCACCTAGAACCGCTGAGAGATTAAAATAACATATCGGCGCCATTATTCATTGTTATTGAAAATAAATAAAATGAAACTTCAGAGACCGATTTCAACGCTATGGAATAGAGAAATGAGAATGCGCTCGTGACGTTAAATTAATGAAAATATGTGTATACTTCATTTTCATGGAACGGCGAGATCGGCAAATCAGGGATTAGCTGCAGGAAACTGGGCCCTTCGTGTCTGCTTTTTTCGAGCGTAAATCGAATCTTTCTTATTGTTTGGCAACGAGAAGATTTACGTGAGTAGCTAAATATATGAAATCGAAACTACACGCGTTGCAGAGTATCTCACGCATCTGCTTTGGTCCTTACGTGTCTGTTGGCGTGATCGGCTGATATGTGTTATATCACTATTGTATGATTGCACGTAACACATTCAAATCTATTTGAAAGGCGTAAACGTAATTCATCCAACGAATTTTTAGACATCGAAAACAATATAAGCAGTAGATTCGTTATCTGGTCAGAATACAAGGGCTGTTTGAGATGGTGTTACGTCAATCGATAACCCAACTGTCCTTGGAAAATGTCCGGGCAAAAAGTCCGGCACTAGCCTTGAGCACCAAATCACCAATAGGTCGATCAGTGTGCGCCTTAGTCCACTAGCGCTCCACATATACTTCGATGCTCCCGGCGAGTCCTTCGCGTTCTTTCTCCGTGCAAATATTGTTCCATCTCTATTGCTCTGCTAGGTTTTTGCGACACTCCCACTGGTAGAGGTGTCTCCCTCCCATCCAGTGAAATCCCGTATAGCTACTGAGGTCCGTGCCTGAATCGCCTTCGCCCACCAACCCAAAAGTACTTTGTATTCTGTTCGCTAAGCTGTTTTCAGATTCCCGCAGTAAATTCTTAAAATGGGTGACCTTTTCCTTCGGCAATTTACGCTTTTGACTGAAACGGTGAAACGGTGATTCGGACGCTGCTCATTCGTCCTGAAAATGCTTTTTCTTCTAAAAGCATCGCTGAACGAAAGTGTGCCATGTTGTCGTCTGCCGTTAATATTTATATATGCCTCGAAAAGAAGTCTGCAGTGATATTACGTAGTGTCGGAACTAGTCGAGTGGTGCGGAACCAACGAAAGTAACTGAATAGGATGAAAAGACGCTACGATTTGCAGTGTGTTGTCTTAAAAATGTCAGCGAATATCTTGCAAGAGGTCTGTCTAAGCTGTAGATAAGCAAGCCACGGAGATTGCGGCATTAGTATACAATCTTTTTTTATTTGATGTAAAGAATTTATCTTCTAGGTTTCTTCACGGGCGTGTCGGATAATTACACGTTCTAAGCGAGATAGCTTTAGAAAAAAAACAGCAAATTTCATTCGAGTTTAAGCCTTCAATGACGATAGCGTGCGCAAGATGCCAAATAGACACTCTGTGAAGTCTCAGATACCTAGAATTTTACGATTTCGTCCGCTACTTTGGCAATACACGAGGACTATTGGTGTATTGGTTTTTATATACGACTAAAAAAACATAACCCTCATAACACAGTAAATTACCACACCATTATCACATGCGAAAAAAAACCGAAAGAACGTCAAAACTTCATAATATCTATATAATTCGCCAATAAATGTAGGTGCCGATCTTATAGGTATTATTAACATGTCTTTCTTTTAGGACATGTTGATCCAAACTCTTCAGGACAATAGTGCGAAGTTAAATTGTTTCTTGCGGGACTTGTTACACACTTGTAGCTGGCGCGGAACTTTATATAGTCGTAGCTTTCTCAGGTCAAAGTTACACTCTGCTGGCACGTCTCGACAGTAGATTAGACCTTATGCGATTCGTAGTATACAGTGTAGAATTAAAAAAATTATATGAACATAAAAAAAGAAAGTAAATTAAAACAAAAACATGTTAAGCAAAACGCTGATAAGTATATTATGGGTCGTTGACATTTTCGTAGAATTAGAATACCAGGATCATACAAGCACACATGTATTATAATAGAGCAGTCGTTTATAGATTACCTTTAAAATAATAACAAAACAGGCTTAAATCAAATTCTTCTCATTGTTATTCATTATAACGGTGCTTTATTTAGACGATCCGAATTAATTGCTCGGTACTGATTCTTCATACTAAACATCAAAAATGAATTCGTTTTAAAAATACAACTGATTTTTATCAATTTTGTCAGAATGGTGTTCGATTTTTGACTCATATCTATTATTGGTAGGCAATGGTATGCTGCTCATAGGTCTACCCTGATACTTGAGTTTTCAATAGGCAAATTGAAAATACATAGGTATAAGCAAATAACTCTTGCCGTTCTTTGTTTTTTCTTAGCTAACAGCTTGATCCACAAAAAAGTTGATATTGACACAACACACTGGAATATCTTTTTAATATAATGTCTTTCCAATTTCTTTGGAAATCCACAAGCGTTTAGCTAACTACGCTATCTAATATCAACTCGTATATGGCTTCTCCCTGTGACCGCCACCAAACTTCTAGAACCCCTGCAATATGTGCTTCTGATTTTTTTGTCAAGATACATAGAAGCGGCAGGTTTTTCGATAGGAGAACGATGTTCCTAGTAGTATAATTAATAACACTGATTTCAAGGAGAGCATATAAGAAAGATCGCGTCAAAATAAGCAAGATATTTATTAACGCTTCAAGGAGCTCACCGTAAATGTAGTAAGTATGTGTTACTTATGTAATTTCTCTATTAAATATGAACTTTGTATGGCTGTTTCGTATAGTATTGAACATGCTGCAACATCGCTAACGAACGTTGTTTATGTTAATTGCTGCTTCTCTATCAAAAGCCAATCAAAATTGCGGTTTTTTTAGGTGCAAACATCTATATATATATATATATATATATATATATATATGTGATTCTCCTGCTCTGCGGTTTGAAATAACATAAGGGCCTACATAATTAACGTCCTGGTTGGCGTAATTTTCGAACCGCATTCAGCATTAAAGCCCCTTTATGGTAGATGATAAAGTGCGGTCTTGTAACGTATACCTGTAAACTTTATACAATCTTTGCTAAATACTCTGCTGTGATGAACTCGTTGACAATGACACTGTTTGGCTTTAAAAAAAAACTAAAGAAATAAACGCGAAATGTTATTGTGGGTTCATTCTTTCATTCAGTAAAAGATAGAAAGGAGCAGCACACAATATATTTGAATGCAGTTAAAGCTCTTTCAATACAATAACTAACAAAAATAAAAAAACACGAAAAAAATACCTCGGCTAGTAGCAGTTCCTTTGCAACGATAAGCAACGATTTTGTTCTATGTATTAGATTTATTTTACGTTTTTTTTCTATTTTCCATAGAAAGCATTTGCCACTAGTATCTCGAATGGACGTCCTTCGTCATGAAAGTTCTTTGAAGAGGCACAGTACGGATGGAATAGAAAATAACTGATCCATCTAATTTTACCGCTGCTGATAAAAAATTTGTATTGCTAGCTATTTTGACACATTGATGTAATATACTGTACATAGGAAGACGTAGTTAAGGAACACTTCTGTTTACGCAACGGGAATACGTACGAATAGTCTTTTTACCGCTGTTTAGAAGACGCAAAACCCGATCGTTACGTTTGAAAGAGGTGCGCACTTGTTCAGTTTAGCATGTGCGACCTTCGGTTATTTTTACTGTTTGGTATTATTTCTATATAAAAGAACGCTAACGAAACTTCCCCGATGGACGATGGAAGAACATTGGAGTTAGAAATGAATGAGTGTTTCTTATAATTTATATAGCTGCGTTGAACCTCTAGAAGAGAACAATGCCGTAATCGATTCCCTTCAGGTGTAATCCTAATCGTATCCGGTCAAATCTTTTAAAATCCTAAAGCTCAACCATAACGCTTAATTGATACGTTCTACCGTTTCTTAATCCTAAAATTATAAAATATATAACTATTAAAAAAGAAAAAGTATATTTGTTAAGGTTATATCTGTGTAGCACATCGTATAACAATGCAGCTCATACAGTGATAACGTATAAATATTCTAATTTCCATTATTTTTTCCATATGACAAATTATAAATTTCCATATAATTTATCATCAATACACATATTATTGTATGCCATAGTGAACTATGCTTAATTAGTCAAATGCTTAATTAATTATAATTAGTCAATGAACAGTATTACTTGGTTGAAACTCAACGAGAGTCTGCAACAACCGTTATGGTAATAAAGTACAGGGTGTTTCAGAAGAAAATCTAAAAACATATGTAAAACAGATATAAGTATTTAAATCGTAAACAAATAAAATGCATGAATCGCACATTTTGATGTGTACTCATGGCTAATAAGGGTCAACTTTGTTTCATTTGATCACGGTTTCCGCGTCCTCGGTTTCCGGTGTAGGCGAGGTACTCCCTCAAGGAAAATACATTGGCGTCAGGTCTGAAAATTGACCAGGGTGTTCTATGGGACCGGGCTCTTTGGAATATTTTCACCTATATATGCTTTTGTGATGATAATATCAATTCAAATACAGCCTATTAATAATAGCCCAGAGAACAGACTGCCTGAAATGCCGCACTACAACGTAAATCTTTACGTATTGTTCCTGTTAAACGTGCTTGTTTACCGTTGTTCTGAGTGCAATTGTGTCGATAGATCGTCCGTTGAATATGAATATTTCTATCAATATCCTGCTTTCTGTGGATCTTCTAAGTTGTACTTGCAAAATTGTTATCCTCTACCTATCGGTTGATAGCATATGAGATTGTTGAAACTTTTTGATTTTGATTGATATTTTAAAGTGCGATAAGCATTGGATTTGCTGATCCCGAGCGCAAGACATGGTCGTTCTACAGATTTTGAAACGTTTCGTTCCGACTTCTCAGTAGCTTTTTTTTTTAGCCTATGGGGGCCCTTTGATGTTTTTGGTCTTCGGAAATGTTGTCTATAAACAGCCTAAACAGTTTTAAACTTATCATTCATTTTATTAGTAAATAGGAATTGTATAGTAAGCCGCGTAGGTGCATCTGTCTAAAACTTTTCTTTGATTTTTTCTCCTAGTTACGTACGATACATATGTATAGAGTAGGAGTTTGCTACGTACGTCGAGCGTGTCAGTTGAGATGCGTGCGAAAAATTCTGCCTGGGGCGAAACAACAATTACACAGCGCAATACATGAACGATATATTTGGAAAACTCGTATTGTAAACGACTGCTAATGCACGGCATGTAGAAAAACTGATGTTACTGATGGGCCGGTTTGTAACTAGTGCGAGAAAGGAGCTGCAGAGAAAATATACTGGTAAACAAAACCCAGACGGATTGGTCTCTAATCAGCAAGTGACGAATATCCTATGAGACACAAGATGTTGCCGTACAAGACACAAACGTTCTTCAAACAAGGTGATCATCACTAGTTAGGCTGTCACAAACGAATCTGACAAACCTAAACTAACTAGGTTAGGAGGCCGATTTTTTAGTAAATAAAACACAATGATCTCAGTATTCTAGGCAGCCATAACCCACCATCTACGTTCTCATATGTAATCTATGGATTCTCACGTTATATCAACAGCAGTGGGATATACTTACGTACCAGTCGCCCTTTTTAGGTGATCACATGAACTTAGATAGAGAAAATAAGTGAAATGAAGCCAACGTTGGATACTACTTGATTAATTCAGGAAGGAGACCTGGCGTCGTTATCGAGTAACCGGGCTGCGTGCTCTCGATTAACGCGCTAACGGTCCATGATTCCCTCGAGGAACGTGAAATAGAGTGCTGTATTCATTGTTTCATTTTCCCCAGCGAATCTCCTTGAGGTTCATTGCCAGTATCACTATCACCTTACTTTTGAACATACTCGACATTGCCACCACGCTCGACTTCTCTTCAGAGTGACCTCATTCCCTCGTCTGACGGTGTAGATTGAACCGTTCTTCCTCTATGACGATCGTACACTTCAGGCGGTTTTTTTATCGATTAAAGTTTCACGCATTGCACGTGGACTGCATTAACTAGCCGGGGTGAATTTCAGGGAAATCCAATTTTTACTAAATTTTCGCAGTTCGCGGGTTTGGGCTCTATTTCTGTAATACGTTAGATATTAAGTGCCAGTTATCCTTAGACTCGAAGCTATCCATTCGTGAGAAGCCTCTCCGATTCCGGTAATGCGGCTTCGGGTCCCCACATCTGGTTATCCCCTTGCTTGTCTTCAACACTCCGATCTCCGTTCTTGAGATATGTGCACCATTCACGTACTGTGCTTTTGTGTAGATCTAATGTCTTTACCCCCCGGTGAATCCCGGCAGCGCTGTGGCCCTTGAGGAACAAAAACTCTGAGCGCGGATTTTCGGGACCGGAAAATGTTTTTCGTTCCGAGTTAGTTTCTCCTGGAGTAAACTTGACTGGTTTCTAATGATAAATCCTTAGAACACTCAAGCATTTATCAATTAAAGCTTGGATACGAGTGGTGCATAACTCAAAATGCTTCAGTGTCAAATTCCGTCGGATCCATTTGTAACAGCTTAGTAGTTTTGGGGCTGTATAACAATGCATGTCAACAATGCTCCAGTTTATAGTAGTCACTTACGTTGATTTTTTGTGAGCGTCAAGTTGTTGTCTGTAATGGAAAAAACCTGCATCTGCAAGCTGAGTTACCATTACGACTGGCCAGGGACCGTTAGCACGGGACCTCTTGATCATGCTCGAGCCCATTGTGCGATGTGGATTAGTGACTATAATGTGTATGCGTAGGCGACGGTCATTGCTTCATCATGGGCTGTGCAGAATTTACGTACACAACCGAAATTGCTACCAAGTTCCTGTACTGGAAAACGCGAACACCTTAAACTAAACTTGCACAGCTAATTATAGTATGGATATACGCGTGACTAATATTTCTGCACGGTGTAGAAAATGCTCAGGTACCATATAAATACCCAGAGACAACTTTCAATACGCTGCATTTGACAAGCGAACCATTTATTGTATGCACATTCTAAGAGCGCAACTGTTTTGCCAGAATATGCCTGAATCGTTAGTAAATTGATTAAGATGTGGTACAAGGGCATCATAACAGGTAAGCTCGTATGCGTTCTGTTATGCTATAAAGTTGTAAAAATCCTGCATTGATCTTCGTATCTAAGACTGATAAATTGTGCCCCTGTTTTCACGTGTCAGGATAAGCATGGATGTTACGTTATTAAAAACAGAACAAATTGGAGCAACGAAGCTGCTCCTTGAGTCTGCGCGGACATCTTTACCATGCTCGCCCTCATAAGCCCTGATTTTTGCTTGACGATCTGATGTGTCAAAGCACAGTCGTATACAAGTGTTATGTAACAGATTAAAAGATAGCGGTTCTATGACCCCGACGGTCCTAAACCCCGACTAAAAGGACCTACTTATCACGTATTTAATTACCGTAGCGATCATATGAAGTGTTGGCATTCGCATTTAGCAAATGCGTGTACACACAGACTTGCCTCGAAACCTTGTCTTTAATCAACCTATTTCGTCTTAGATCAAAACTTATTTTGTGCCATAAATCAGCGTATAAGTGATTTATTTTAATAGTAGAGAGCTACGACCAGGTAGTTGATAGGCACCTCGATACAAAGCCCTCTTAAATTATTCATCTGTGGATATCCGACCCGGATGCATGTCTCCGACTGGCTTCCTATTCACTCAACATTGTAC